TTTAGAAAAACCCCTGGCAGTGAACATCTTTGATGAATGACCAGTTCTTGCCAGCCAGCCAGTTACTAGAAAAAGTGGCAAAACAGCTACAATGTTTCAATGCGTTGTGCTCGTCACTGATATTAATTTACCAGTACTTGAACATCATTCAACCTTTTCACCACCAGTTGTCTCTTTTCATCACAGATTCACAAAATAAGTCAGCATTTATAGTCCGCGCTTTCCTTCAGAAGTTTGGGACAAAAATAGCCAAAGTTGACTCTAGAAATATTGGAAAAAGTGCAGAAAAATTTGGGCGAGAAAGTCTGGTGTGAAAAAGTTAATCCGATGCAGTATCAAAGTGTGATGTGACTGGAATAAAATCGTGCCATTGAAGACAAGCTCATGCTGATGCATCATGGGATGAAATCAAAATATAATATGAGGTTATCACTTGTTCACAGAGCGAGATGATACAGACCATAAAGCCACGAGTGCTGAACAGCTCTATGAATAAGTGATATCAGGTGATTTACCAGTGTGTCCAACTCGACATGAGAACCAACACAGCAATCACAAATTTACATAACTACACTTACGAATAATAAGCTAATTTATGTTAATGAGGCATGTGCATGTGCAATTTGCTGTAATAAAAAGATCAAAACAAGATATATCATGTATTTATTTATAAATACTTTATAACACAACATGATTATCTTTTTTAATAGTTAACAATAACAAAAAAAAATCAAGTTTTTAACATTTCCCACATTGGGAGTAATGAAATGCATGCTGGGAAAGTGGACAGATCCATTTTGCCAGAAACAGGGGGGGGGGGGACCACAAGCTATGCCACACATCGAATATGAATTTGAATCCTAAAAAGAGACTTCACGAAATGACTAATTTCTCAAAATAAAAATAATTGCTGATGGAGAAATAAGAGTTGATGTGTTCCACAGAGTATGAAATGTTTCGATATTTGTCAGCCGATGTTGATGACAAGACAGTGAAGTATGGAGAAGGGTTACACATCATGACTGCATCGGCGTGCCTTGCTTTTCCAACTCTGTCCTGTAAAGACGAAAAAACAAAAAAACATTGAAATCAAAGGCTTGAAAATGATAATACTGATTCTATTAGAAGCGCTTATACATTTCTATAATCAAAATAAGTAATATTTAGTGAACACAACAAATGTGATTTTTGGTTTACAGTAAAATACTTTCTTTTCGCTGAAAAAATTATTCAGTGAGAATAAAATCAGTGAAATCATCCTCTCACTCACCTTAGTTGTTTTGAGAAATCATCTTCTACGTTATCATCATCCCAATTATCTTCCCAGACATTCACATCATCTTGGTCTTCATCTTCTCCACCCCAATCTGTGATAAAACACACTTTTATACTTAAAGGACGATCGTCATCGTGCCACGCATGCGCCAAATATATGGGTCTCATATAAACAAAGATGGCGACTTTGAAGTACAAACTGAAAAGTTACCAAGCTTTAATTATGTATTTTTCAGGTGATTGGAAGGTATTGAAGAAGTCATTGGTGGCAATTAGTGCAAGTCGCGTCCAGGTCAAACCTCATACTTGAGATTTCTATTGGAAGAGCGCAAATTAACGTTATTCAACAGAAATGCTGCAAATGCACAGCGCAATGACCACCGCCCCCTTTAAGTCATTTGAAATCGGGGATCTAGATACGAGAAAGCTTAAAAGGCGGTGGTCGACTGGCAGTGTTCTGTTCGATATAGAACTCATAGCTAATAGGTGATTTTCTGTACAATTGCGAGATCTCGTGAGATGCATGAAAGACGCGCGTCGAACGTCTGCTGTAAAAATCAAACAATTTGATTTTCAACTCGAATTTCTTTATTTCGTAGCTCACATCGACTGGCCGATCTTCGACAGAAGAATATTGCTTCCGAATACCCTCACTTAATCGAAATTGTCTATCATCAAATGTGGACAGCACATTATTAAGCATGGAAATGTCCCCCAAAATACTTTCGCGTTTGTCGAATCCCACGCGATGTTTGACGCCACTACGACGCTATGACCTTTGTTTGTCCTGTTTTTACGTTCGATTTCACGCATAACGCATGATTCTCGCAGTGAACGGAAAATGGTCTATTAGAGCTATGAATTGCAAATATAAGTTGGTGTTTGTTCATAATTGCAAAACTGGGTCAAGGGGACGAATAGTGGAAATAGATCTTTTAATCACAGAGCCGCGGGACGAATAGTGGAAATAGATTGGTTTTCCGCACAGCAGCAGGGTGAATAGTGGAAATAGATTGGTTATTCGCACCACTGCAGGGCGAATAGTGGAAATAGATTGGTTATTCGAACAGCCCTGTGGCGAATAGTGGAAATAGATCAGTTATTTGCACAGTCGTGGGAAGAATAGTCATTGCCTATTTAAAGTGGTAATATTGATGGTGGGTCCAAACGTTTGGGATTGTACGTCAAAGGGTAAGCGATTTTGTTGTCAATTTTAGGAAACAGCTAGTTTTATACAGTACAAGTGTTGCTGCTAACTAATAATGGTGGGTCCAAATGATGAGAATTTTAAATACCATCAAGTTGTCTAATCGTCAAGGGGTCCAAACGACCTGTAATCATTATGTATTAATAACCTGTTCTGTTTCTTTTTCATTTATATAGTATGCGCTTTTTCCAATAATTTTATTGCAGCTCCTAATTACTTACTAGTGAGCCCCTGTTGTAAAAGGGTAGCAACATATAAATAAATAAATAAATAACCTGTATTCGTGTATTTTTGCATTGTCATAACATGTGACAAACGTATCTCGATAAAGTTAAGACGTACACACAGAGCAAGAACAGCGCATTTAAAGCACCGCCAACTTGTCTTTTCTTGTGTAACAGGCTTATTATCATTTACCTTCTGATGGGAACTCTTCGAATTCGTCGTCTTCTTCGAGAAGACCCAAGTCCATGGCTTTCTTTGCGGGTTCCGCCATTTTGAGTACAGGCTCGTTCGCCGAAATAAATAATCAAGAACTAACAATTATCTTAAGTTTTGTTTTGTTTTCAAAATGTCAAAATTATATTTTAATTGCAGGAATAAATTATTATAAATGATACTAAGAAATGGGTAAATTTGTAAGGTACAAAATGAGTGAATTTTGCTGGAAAATTATTACTACGACCGGGAACGAGGCATATCGTGTGCAAAATCACGTTGTAGATTGCAGTTGTTCATTGGAAACTCCATTTTCACCTTACTCGTTGATAATGTAAGTATTTGTCGATTTGTATCCATGTTTTGTTCAAAATACGGCATGCTTTCATACAATATTCAAAGCATGGTGTGTTTAGTGATGGTCAAAACTTGATATTAAGCATAGTTTGGGTGTATTTCTCGAGTTAAACGTTTTCCAAACCGAGACCTCGTCTCGCGTGGCACAACCTTTCGTCCATCACTTTAACAACCTTGCGGTCTTTTGTCTCTGAAATGAACACCGTCTTCTCGTCGACAATAATGTTAAACTTTTTAATGCATTCGTCGATTTTTTTTTCTAATTGCCCTAATAGTAAGTATTTGCCATGTTTGATTAGTCGAGTTGTCGTCTTTGCGAATTGATGATTTGGTAAGAGATTTCACCCCGACTCAACCGGATCCCTCGTCGGGGTTATTGACCCTCCAATAATAAAAAAAAAAAAGAAACCGGAAAGGATATGCGTTTTTTTTTCGAACATACTTCCCTTTAATTCTTGCTGCCTTTTCGTCATAGGGAATAAAATGTCTATAAATACAGTGCTCGGCGTTGCAATGTCAAGAGCCCTTCTCGGCTGCAAAACCGCATGTTGCGCCTACAGTCAGCTGTTCTGCGGACGGCATGGCAACTTCCCGATAAATAGGAAACTACTAATCGAGACGTTTACTGATTTAAGTTTAAGTATTTGCAGCGCTTCATTTTTGTTATTTGCTTTACTTAAATTTGTAGAAGGTATTAAGAATATCTGATAATATTTCTGCTGGTAACCTGCTGCAAAAACCATATGTCTACCGTTAACTTAGTTTTCCCTTTTCACGAGTTCAACTCAAGGCCCTGGTTTGGAAGTATTCGTTTTGGGAAGAACTGCTATGATGGATAGCATGGTAACCAAAATATGTTTTACAAGTTGACCCCCCCCCCCTCTGTACAGTGGTTTAGACTTCCTATTAATATTCTGCTGCCATGCTCACTGGGCAACATGAATGCTGATTGGCTGATAAAAATAGCTCACTGAGTATGAATACTGGAAAAGTTTGATTTTCACCTAAAAATATTTTGAGTCATTCCCATGTTCCTATGAAAATATCAAAAATGGACACTTGTGTAAACGATGAAAACTCACTTTATTTACCTAGTTAGAATGTATGAAATACTACAGTAATACAATCAGACTCCTTAGTATGCCAGAAATAAATTCAAATAATCAGAAACTGTTCTATATAAGGCCAGACTTTTATTATCCCTTGTTTCGCGAACCCGCCGAATGAACAAGAGCCGAAAATAAAAATAAAATTTTATTTCAGTGTAATTTCTCGCCGACTTGTAAGTGCAAAAAATTGCTAAAAAAAAAATTTTTATCTTCATTTTTTTCCGCCCGCCACACAAATCCAAGTTGCATTTTCGTGGGAGTATCATGATCAAAGTACCAAAGTCTCGCGAGGATGAGAAACAAGGTTATAGATGGAATAAAATTTTATTGCATTTCTTCTCTTCGATCAATGATCTCACTTACAATTCTTTGAGAATCGCACAAATCTCATGGAAAAAAAGAATTAATTTTATTTATTTTTTTTCGCTCTCCTCAAAAAAATTGCCTCATAAAATCTCGAGAAACAAAGAATGAAAAAAGCCTGGCCTAATATATGAAATGAGAATGCTTGCTTAGCATCATGGTTACAACAGTTTGAAAACAAATCCGCAATCTTGAAAATTACAAGTTTTTGTCAACACCCTTGTTTATAATGATTGTTCACCCAATCAACCACATTGCTGATGCTACTGCAACTGTGTTGAGATCATCAATTTACGACAAGATGCATACAATGGCAATGGCAGGTTATCAGATTTTCTTGATGTTCTTATTTGGCATGTATTTTCAATAATGCAATCAAACGATGACACTGTTTGATTGAATTATGACTAATCTTTACAAAGCACAAACAAGATAGAGGCAAAAAATGTGTCCAAAAAAATGCAACTGTTTCAGAAGACAGTGTTGATGTCGCTCCAATTCATAATTACACAATAGAGGCATCTCAAGTAGACCACGTTCATTTTGTGATGACATCTTCAATTCTTTAATTGAAATGTGCATTGCAAACAACGAAACTCTAAGCCAAGAGGCTGCATGTATTATTACCCTCGTATTTCTATGTGCAAGTTTTAGTTGCATCAACAATGGTTACAATCGAGTTCAACCGGATACTATTCACCATGTTGCAGCTGTCGTAGTCATTATGAAACAGATATGAACTTTGTATTGTGGCCATAAAGATTTACCGTATCACTAAGTATTATCTATTCTCATGCATACACTTCTATAATTTATAACACACTCAATACAAAGTTCTTATCTTCATTCATAATACTGTAAAAAGATTAAATATTCACTGGGTTTTAATTTTGCTTATTTCCTGACTGGAAAATGCGCTAAATTAAAACCCAGTGAATATGTAAATTTAGCATAGAACACATTATCTAAATGACGAAACCGTGAATTTAAAACCCACTGAATATGCCTGAAATGGTAAATCAGTGAAATTGAAACCCAGTGAAAATTAGTCATTTTACAGTAGGTGATTTTCTGTACAACTGAGAGATTTCGCGAGTTGCGTGAAAGACGCACTAAACGTCTGTCCAAAAATCGAATGATTTGATTTCAAACTCAAATTTCTTTATTTCGTAGCTCAAATCAAAAGGCCGATCTTTGACAGGAAAATATTTCTTCATACCCTAACTTAATCAAAGGGAAAATCATGTACATAAAACATTATTAGGCATGGAAATAACCACCAAAATACTTTCGCGTTTGTCGAATTCCACGATGATTGTTGACACTTTGACCTTTGTTTGTCCTTTTTTTTATGTTCGATTTCACGCAAAACGTGGAATCTCAAAGTGTGCGAAAATTTGGTCTATTCTGATTAATTATTCTACTACAAAATAAAGGCTTAAACTCCACTGAGGCATCAAAACCATTGCTTTGGTGTCAATGAATTTACTTGGTGTCTCTTTCAATAATTCCTGTATTATTGTTATATGCTAACACCATATTTGGAAATAGATGCCCTGTCAACTTAGAAGTTGACATCTTTCGTTAAGTCAGACAATAGGTATTAAGTTGTCTCCTCGAGCCCTTTAACGGCTAATTTAATACTCGATGCAACAAAACATTAGTTTTAAAATTCTCGGCAAAACAATAGATTTGTTGGGAGCCATCCGGCTACCCACAACTTGGTAGAAATCACGACAACTGAAGCGCAACATGCATTTGTAGCGAGTGTTTACATATTATATTTTTGTGTAAATTAGCCACAATGTTACTTGGCTTGTGAGAATCTAGTGTTATTGATGTTTTGTTTTTTGTTACAGCTGTCAGTTGTATGAGTCAGAAGACGCCCAAACCTACACTTACAGGTCAGAGGTTGAAGACCAGAAAAAGAGGTATGGCTGGATTTGATTTTTTTTTTTTTGATTTTCTTCTTAACTCGGCAAGTAGTGCTGTTCGTGTAGGTGATTGTCCGTTGTCCATCAACAATTGCATTTTCAATTTCTTCTTGTAAACTACCAGCTTAGTTGCTTAGATATTGATATACAGGTACCTTGGATG